TATTTTTTATTTATTATTTTTATTTTATGCGTATGAGTGTATTGCCTGCTTGTGTATGAGTGCACCCATGTAGTGCAATGCCATGGTGGTCAGAAGAGGGAGTCAGATTCCCCTGGAACTGGAGTCAAGGACGGTTCGTAGCTGCCAGGTGGGTGCTGGGAATTGAACCTGCGTCCTCTGCAAGAGCAGTCAGTGCTCTTAACCACTGAGCCATCTCTCCAGCCCCATATAGATGTGATTTTTAATTTTTTAACATTTATTGTGTGTGTATGTGTTTATGTGGTGTGTGTGTGTGTGTGTGTATGTGTGTGTGTGAGAGAGACTGCACACAAGTAGGGGTCAGAGGACAGTTTTGTTCTCTTCTACCATGTGGATTCCAGGGATCAAACTCAGGTTATCAGGCTTGGTGGTGAGGACCTTAATTCACTGAACTATATCACTGGCCCAATATTTTAAATGTTTTAATTAATTAATTAATTAATTAATTTGTATGGACACAGGTATGACATGGCCTACTCCACCTCCCAAGTGCTCAGATTATAGTCATGTGCCATCACGTGCCACAAGATCTGACTGCTTTTTCCCCTTTCTGATATGGACATTTGTCTTGGGATCAGCAGAGCCTGTGTCCAGACCATGTGTGTTCCAGTACTGCAAAGAAATTGAATCTGGGCCTGGTGGTGCACGCCTTTAGTCCCAATACTTGGGAGGCAGAGGCAGGCAGATCCCTATGAGTTAGAGGGCAGCCTGGTCTACATAGAGAGTTCCTGGCCAGCTGGGGCTACAGGAAACCCTGTCTCAAAAAGACCAAGAAAGGAAGGAAAGAAAGGAGGGAGGGAGAGAGAAAAAAAGAAAAGAAATGGAAATCTTCCTGCCAGGCTGTGCACTCTGGGCACCGAGACTCAAAAGTTAGACAAGTCTGCCCTCAAAAAGCTCCAGGCAGGCAATGCTGGGAGACAAATCATAAACAGGTAACTGATTACAGCTCTGTGTGACATATACAGTGACAGGGAGGGCTTCCCAGGGAAGTGCCTTTTAACTAAAAACATGTTTGCGGCAATTCTGTAACAGATGGAAAAGGAGCAGGGACTTTTAAAGGATGCATAGGGGTTGGCCACAGAGGACAGAGCCTTGTATGTAGAAGCATTGGGTATGTTCAGGGCATGGCAAACTCAAGAAGTTATAAGCAGTGGGACACAGGACCTAACCGAGCACTGTGATGTACCCAGGCTTGGTGTCAAGTGCTTGCCAGGTACAAGTTATCTCCACTAATCCTGTTGACAGCCCAGGGGGCAGCAGCAGTAGTATCCCCATTTTATACTATTAAAAAGAGGTTCAGAGAGGTCAGGTTACTTCCCCCTGGGTCACAGAGTCTGCCAGGTGTATCAGAATTCAGGTCAGGGAATTCTAGAGAAAGGTCCAGGTTTTTGGAGAATTCTGGGGCATCATTAAAGTGGAAAGACAATAGTAGCTGGAACCCTGGGACAAGGTTTGAAGATTTAACAACAAAAAAAGGGAAAAATCTAAAGGAAGAGGGCAATTTTCCATGAACTTTTGTTCCTCCTTAAGCTCTCCAAATCTTTGCCTTTCAAAATGTACTGTGCGCGATGCATTTTTAAAGCTCCAAACTGACAGTGTAATTCTAGATTATCACACGGTTCTGAAAACTGCGGAGTAGGTCTCTTTCCCCTAAAATTTCCATTCTTTTGTCTCTAGGTGGTGGGAGGGAAGTTCTTGTCCCCGATTTAAAACTGTCCTGCAGTTTTGTGTCTCTATTTGATGTCATAGAAGTCATGATGAAGGCTGGACTCTGATCTTGGCTTTCCCTCTCGGAGCCTCAGTTTCCCTATCTGTGGAGTGGACTTTCTTCATAGAGTGGCTGTGAGGTTTAATTAGGTAATGCAGATATAGTCATCGGGCCTGTCAGTCAGGAAGCTTCAGGTGGTCAGAGCTAGAGAACCACAGAGGCATGTGCACAGGCTTTCAGGGATACAGTGAGGAAAGAAACTTGCTTTCTAGGCTCAGGAGCCCCCATGGAGACTGAAAAACCGCTGGAGCAGCAGGAGGAGGAAGGGGAGAAGGTGCTGCTATGGAAACTGGAGGAGGAGGGCGTTCCCAGGGAGAGGGAGTGATGGATAATGTCAAGGATCATGGAGAGGATGGGGTGGGGGGTGGGAAGGGCAGGAGGGTGATGAGAGTAAACCAGAGGCCTCAAGTTCAGGCTCCTGCATAGCCTGGGAGATCCCCAAATCTGGCTTCAAATCTCAACCCTGAAGTTAAATGAACTAGGCAAAGGATTCTCCCTCACTGAGCTTCTGTTTCCTCCTAGATCTAAGATGAGGGAATGGGTCAGTCTCAATATGATGGCCTGTGTTTAATAAAATTCTTGGGTTCTTTGGATTCTTGGCCACTTGCTAATTGTTTGATGTTGGCAAGTCACTTCACCCCCAAGAGCCCCTTCTGAGCACTTGGGTGCAGCAAGTCAGGTGCCTGCGTAAGTGCCTGGCACACAGTGGGTCCCCAATACAGGTTTCTTTTATGTGTGATGCTAAGGTGGCTGTTGTAAGGAAGTTTGATTGACTTGAGATTTGACGTGTTCC